GTAAACACTAATTTTTAAAACAGCCATTACAGTTTCATCGAAAGAACAACTCCGCTCCAAAAATGGACCTTGTTCATCGTAACGACATAAACAGAGATGACACTTTTCATCGACTTTCAGGCAGGATATTAGCTATCAAATTGATCAAATTAAATTTTAGCCGTATGATGTAAGCATCAAACAGAATGGCCTTAATCTTGCCTGGTCTGGTATGGCCACACCAGAGCATTATACTGTTCTGCAATCGCAAGAAAACGACTCATGTTGGTTACGCTGAAGCAACGTGGAGTTTATTCCTCGCTCAAGAGAATAAGCAGTTCAGGAATTTTTTGGAATTCTAATCTGGGACCTCCGGAGATCGAGGCCGACCTCATACCAATGTGCCGCTAACAATTTTCTACTTGTTTATTATGCTGCATGTTGCACTTCTGATCGAAGTCTGTCGGTGTCAGTTCTCACATGAAAAACTCGCCGACTGGAGTGCAGGGTTTATTCTCAACCAATTAGTCCAAAAAACCAATATGGAAAGTAAACAAGACCGTCCTGCTGAACCATAAATTTTAAGTCTGAACTTATTTTTCCTAATCTCCAGTTCTGTTTGCGTTTAACCGTGCCAAAGCGAGGATGGAATCATTCATCCATCCATCCAAAGCGAGTGATCCTTTAATTTAGCCTTCATTTCACATGCAGAAGTCAGCGACACTATGCACTGTTTAACCATCACCGGTAATCATTAATTATTTTAGCGCTCTCTGTACGTGTCATAACACTGACCTGATCAAGCAAGATATAAGCAGACTTGTACGAAAACCCAATATTCTATTATTATATCAATTCTTGAAGATGCTCGGAAGGCGTTGAAAGCAAAGGCGATTCTTTTCACTTAATTCTAATTTCCTGATATCTTACGTGGGTTTGACGAAACCGAAATATTTGAACGGGCGGATCTTTTGTTATGTCCCTTCCACTACAATCGCGAGTATGTTTCTGCTTCAGATTGCTCACAGTATTTCATTTTTTAAGGTTAAACTGAGATTCGATTTGAACCCAGAATTGCAAAAGGGAACCTTTAATCTGTGATACACGTTTACCTACTGATGACTGAGAAGCACCTCAGGCCACAGAAATATCCGATTGAGCGTCATGAACATCGCCTCTCTCCATACCATGAATCTCCCCTTTTTTCAGATTAGCTTAATTTCTGATGAAAAAACCCAGAATGTCAAAGACCAAAGCATGGCAAAGCTCAATAATAACAGGGCACCACTCAGCTCCCGCGTTCGTTCAATTTCAGTGGCACACAGTCTTCCATTAAACATCCACTAACTAATACATATGTGCCGGTGCTTCATATCATCACATTCCTTTTAGCATTGCATCCTATATGACATTACGCATAATCATCATCGGCTTTGCCATGGATTAAAATGACACTGCTGGGCAATAGGCATTCACGAACAAGGCTAGCGGCCTAGCGCGTATCCCTGGAATAACTCTGGAAGAATGAGTAGTTGTTCTTATTTTGTAATCAACTGAAATTGAAGTTAATAATAATTCGCTTAACGCAGCGTATGAAAACAATCAATTAAGATATAACAAATTATGGTTTCTTAATACGATGCGC